GACGGCGTAAAACAAACCTCACTCACTCCTTGTATCCTGTAAGTGTCTCTCTGAGCATGCATGCCGACAGTCATACTCGTGTATTGACACTCATATCTTGGATGTCTGTTCACCTTCAAGTACGACATGTGCAATACAATCAATGATATGTACAGGGTAAGTCAATCTGTGCCACTGTATGGCCACTGCGTCGTGATGGCCAATTTAAATAGTATTGATTATGTCTCATGACAAGCGCACTACACCTAGCTGAAACATATTGACTATCTTAATACACCAGACAGCTCTCTAACATGTCTGTAGTCACGACATGTACACAAAAAACATTAATTGACAGATTATTAGAACCTTTTTGTATTTCAGGAGGAAAATATATTCTGTTTCTGTTTTGCAAGAACGGCCAATGAAAATGGTTTGCATTTATGTGACATTTGAGGAACTGTGGTATCAATGGAGTCAGGCTTGCTTCATCATGGTCATCTAACTACTGTACTGACAAGGGGAATTGATTAGACAACTGTTTCATGGAAGTAATTTGTCTTTAATAGAAATTGACACACACTGATTGTTGTTAAGTTAGTTATATTGTAACCTGGATTGAACAAGGAAATCTTTTCACACACGCCATCAACATTCCATCAGCCAAGACTCCATTATTTACAGGTTGCAGGGAAATATTGGTTCATTATTGCTGTATGTGGCATAAAGCAACATTCACTCACTCACTCACTCACTACATGGTGCCTATGTATTCACTCACTACAAGACTCGTGAAGTTCGGGTTAGAATTTGTCTTCAGCAACACATGCTTGCCGTAAGAGGCAACTAATGGGATCGGGTGGTCAGGCTTGCTGACTTGGTTGATGTATGTCATCGCATCCCTATTGCCTAGGTCAATGCTCATGATGTCCACCACTGGATTGTCTGGTCCGGACTCGATTATTTACTTACTGCTGTCATATAGCTGGAATGTTGCTGAGGATATTATTAAACAACAAACACACTGTATTTATCATCAACAACAGACAGATCACATGCCTATTCATTCACTGACTATAGGATGTCTGTGCATCCACTCACTATGTGAGTCTTGAGTGTTGTTGTTTTTCAGGGGTATTATGTCTTCCTGAGGCAAGGGAATTAACTGACTGTAAAACTCCAGCTTCTACCCTTGCCGAACTAGGCTGGAATTTCCGGGCTCGATCGTAGTGCTACCAGTGGCTCTTACCAGTTCATGTCCCTTATGTCCCTCCTGTTGACCAATCAGATTCCACCTCTCATATCACTTGCATTTGCTGAAAACAAAATGGCGACGCTGATCTGATCAATGGTCAAATACATATTGTAATAAAACAGGTCTTACCTCGCGAAGTGCCCAGTTGATGGTACACAACTTTTGCAAATCCTGACTACCGGATGTCGATTTCGTTACGTGATTTTGATTGGACTCTGCATAGACTCGTTGGTCCAGCCAAATTATTACTCCATTATTGCAGCCTTGTTCGGCAATGGCGGAAACTGGACTTTTACAGTCAGTTAACTATCTTGCCTCGGGAAGAAGGGAGTATTTTTGCAACACAACAGCTGATATTGAACCTGTTCCAAGTACAAGTGTGTCTGCTGGCTGTGAATGTTGACTAGTATGCTGCAGCCAGTGTCGACTTGTAACTTGATGTGGGTGACTGTGGTATGGATGACACAGGACAGATGTTTCCTTCCGACAATATTCTGCTTATTTACATGTATATTGTTTAAATAACAGCGTATGCTACCTTGTTTACTGAGGTGACACTTGACCTACTGAGAATGGTGGGATTATCATGATCATGACATCTCTAATGTGCCATATACAGTCAAGTCTCGTTAATCCGACATCGTTGGTTGCACATGATTGTGTCGGATTAAAGAGTGTGTCAGATTAACAAAATTAAGTGATTTGTGATCGAAAATCGGACATCTTCACGATATACCTGTTCGTATTTTAAACTGGCTTCATGCACATTTATCTGGCTTCAATCTGTAAACTACATTTGTATAGCTTTGTACATACAGGTTTGAATAGCTTTTCCTGTTAATAGTTAAGTTAATCTCTGCAGCCAGTGCGTGTCAAAACACGGGGTTGTGTACTCGCGGTCAGATGACCACGGAGTACGCTGACCACTGTGTCGGATTAACAAGACTGATTAATGAGTGATTTCGGTAATTCGTTGCAAATTAGGTGTGTCGGAGTCGGAGTGCGAGAATGTCGGATTAACGGGACTAAATAGCACTGAATCAATCGGTTCCCATCATTTGTGTCGGATAAAGCCGAGTGTCGGATTAACGAGTGTCGGATTAACGAGACTTGACTGTAGTTTATCTGTCAATGTATAATGAGTCAGTTAAAATATCAACTCACGTCAGCAGTATTTCAGCCATGTCGTGACTAGCTTGAGTAATCCGCTTACAATATATAAAAACCTGTCAAGGATGGCCATTATGATAACTAGGTTATTTATCACAGATAACAAAACATGTCAAGCTTATAAGTAATGTTGCTTGCAGAGTGTAGTTTGATTGCTTGTTTGTTGTTTAACGCCGCACTCAGCAATATTCCAGCTTTATGACAACAGTCTGTAAATGATCGAGTCTGGACCACATAATCCAGTGATTGACATCATGAGCATCGATCATGCAATTGGAATAAGATAACAAGCATCAACCAAGTCAGTTAGTCTGACCACCCGATCCTGTTAGCATGGGTTGCTGAAGACCTATTCTACCCCGGATCTTCGTGGGTCCACAGATGTTATGTAAAACTAGTATATAGCCATAACACAATGCAGTGAGTTCTATGTTATTTGACAGTATAATATAAAAACATGCTAGAGATCGCCAACAACCAAGGGGAATGCTGCCTGTATAACCAGTACTCTATTTAAATATGCACTTGACATTAGGGCTGGGACAACCCAATAAGCATCACGATACTCTGCCAAGATCTGATACGTGTCATGATACTTGCATGTGCTCATATCTGTGGTGCGTAAGCCATCTTTTTCATAGACAGGATGGCCAAATACCTGTCACACTGATGATTTACAGTCGGCAGTGTCAAGTATTGCGCAATGGATGAAAATCTTTACATTTTCACCACTATTTTTCCCTTCTAATTTGTGTTAGGTTAACAGCTATTAAAGGGAGCGTTTAGGGTAAGAAGGGATATACCGTATTCGACGTAATAAGCGCCCAGGGCGCTCTCAAAGTTAGAAATAGAGGGCTTTTATTAGAATATTATTTTGGTGGAAGAAAACGAGTTGAAAGATAAATTTTGTGGTTTATGCTGATGGCCTGAAATGTTTATATACGACAGATATATTTTTCCAGAGTTTAATTGCCCATAATTAAGGGTGCATATAACACACGAGTGCGTATTATACACGAATAAATAAGTCTTGTGTATATTGATCAATCGGAAGGGGTGCTAATTGGGATTGTTCACTTGCCAATATATTAGCAAATATCGCCGTGGGCGCTTATTAGAGCGGGGCGCTTTTTACGTCGAATACAGTATTTCACTTAGTGTGAGACTGTTATTGATACTTGTATGGAGAAGTAAAACATGGCGAGCAACCAATTCTTTGGTGTGTCGTCTCGTTACTACTTGACATACGAGAATCAGTTCTGTGTATCATGGGAAGATACAAATATCCCTATCAAAGGTGGAGTAGTATACATTACCCTTAAGTGGCAGTTTAGAAACTGTAGTATCATGAAGACAGTTGACTTATGGAGTTTAACTTCATTTTTCTTTCAATCAGCGTTAGAAACTAACAGTTTTCGTCCACTAGTCCTTATAATGATAACATATATCAAAACCCTTAAAAATGGCAACTTTCTACTAGTCCTTTTGATACCTTTACCATTGGGCAGTTTGGCAAGGACTATAGGACTAGTGCCAATTTCTAACCCTATCAATGCAACGTTTTGTACGAGGTGCTGGGACCTTTTCAAGGAAGTTCTTGCTAAGGAATTTACACTTGTACCACTGCATCAGTATTGAAAGAATGAAGAGGCTGAAACATGATACATGTCTGAAACTATCCTTGACCTTCTGACACAGTGGCAGTGGTCAGGAAGAATTGGTTCCCAGTAAGAGTGAAACAGTTCTTCGAACTTTCAGATATTCCCCATACTCTGTGCCAGGATACAAATATCGTATCGACAGGTCCTGTAGTGATACAAAACGATACAAGCAATAATGGTTCAAACATGAATTGTAAAATCTTACTGCGGCAGAAAACATGGTTCATGAAGGGAATTCTCTGCAAGAACAGCAAGTACACCTAGTTTCAGTCTCCAATCATGAATTCGTCCTGATCATGAATTCGTCCTGATCATGAATTCGTCCTGATCATGAATTCATCCTGATCATGAGTTCATCCTGATCATGAATTCATCCTGATCATGAATTCATCCTGATCATGAATTCAATCCTCAGCATCACTGAAGTGCTCATGTGTTTCACTTGCGACTCTTAGGCTAAAAAATTAATAGTCTTGGTTCTCAGGCACCACCCGCATCATCATAAAGTCTGCCACACCTTTTTTTTTTTCATCCATTTTAAAAAAAATATAAAACTCCTAATACTTAAACACAATGCACAAAAAAATTGAAAATGGAAACAAAACGAAATGCGCAATGAACTTGATGATGATGTGGGCAGTGCCTGAGAACCAAGCCAATTATTTTTTTTAACGTTACAGCTATCTATCACTGGGGCACAGGTTGACCAACTGCTTAGGGCACATGAGTTCACTGTGCAGTGATGGGTTGGGATCTGCTGGTCATGGGGTCCGTTACAAGATGTGCCCAGAGTTTGGTCCGGGGTATGTGGGTGTTAGGTGGATGAGCATAATCTCTTGGCACGTCATGGAAGAAGTGGGAATTTTTTATTGTAAGTTGATTTGTATTTGTCTGGCTGTATGAACTATGGTGACAGTGTGTTGTGTTTGTTTCAGCTGGAGGTGTAGGTAAGAGTGCCTTGACTATCCAGCTCATACAGAACCAGTGAGTATTGCTTTCCCTCCACATCTTTAGTTAGGAACTACCATATTGCTCGGGGGTCTGTTAATTTTGTGCAAGCCATTGACTCGGCATCTATTCTGTTTAATGCGAACACAGTGACAACTCACTACCTTAACGAAACCCAAATTCTACAGTCATACAAAGGTTACATATACACGAAACAGTCATTATTTATCGCCAACATATCATTGGCATACAGAAAAAACGTGCATATTCAGCTTTTTGGGTGCCCTTGAAAATCTAAAAATGCTTGTTTATCCTTCGGGAGGCAATTTGACATTGTTTATTATTGTTGATCTGTCATGTCATGAGAGATTAACATTAGTCATATGGACAAAATCCAGTGTTCTTTAACTTCTTTTGAGTAGGATATGTCAAAATTCCCAATTCTTCTCGTCTGTATTAACAGGGTTTCAGTGTACATGAAATGATAATGATATACTGAACAAAAAAGTTAGGGATCATTAATATTTTGGGGTATATCTTTATGAAATTGTGTACTTGTTCACTATATCCTTAACATATTTATGATTCATAAATTTTTTAGTTATACCCCGACCGAAAAGGGTGGGAGTATATAGTTATACAAAGGCATTCTGCCCATCCATCTTCCGTCCATCCTTCCAGAGAGATTTTTATGTGTGACCTATAACTTGAAAACTACTACAGAGATTCTTTTCAAACTTGGTAAACACTTGTTATACCTATAGGAGAGGTGCAGTGCGAAGATTGATTTCAATATTTGGATTTTCTGAAAAAATACAGCATTTTTGCATTTTTGACTTAGAATTTCTTTACTTAAACATTTGTGTGACCTATAACTTGAAAACCACTGCATTGATTCTTTTCAAATTAAGGCTACAGTTTCCGTACAAATAGAAGAGGTGCATTGCAAAGTTTGATATGTGTGATTTCTGAAAAAAATATGATGTTTTTTCATATTGTGAACTTTGAATATTTATTTTATTTCAACATTTGTGCCACCTATGACAAAAATCCTTGTTCATGGATTCTTTTCTACTCAGGGATACAGTGTCTGTACCACTAGGAGTGGTGCAGTGCAAAGGTGGATTTCCACCAGTGGATTTCTGAGAAAATTTTGCTTTTTTTCATATTTTGAACTTGAGTTGAAGTAGGGGGTATTAGTGAGCCCTACTCACTCTGTCTTGTTTTGAACATAATTTGATGGAAAATTTCAGAATATCAAATCCATGGATTACCAGTGAGAATGTTTCCTGTGTCAAATGATGTATTTATCCATCTCTTATGTGTGTATTTTCTCTCTCCACAGCTTTGTAGAAGAGTATGATCCCACTATAGGTAAGTCACTGTGGCTGTCGGATGGGCGAGGGATGGAACACGGGGGGGGGGGGGATCTCCCTGGCTGTCTGCTGATGGGGAACCCCTTTATTGACAGTGTGTTCTTTATCTTGCTTCATACCTAGTCTAGTAACCATGGTAACCTGTGTTGAGAATCTTCAAACAGGATTTATTTTTAATTTAGCTGATCAGGATGGCCATACAGTAAAGTGAGAACAATGGCTTGACATCACCAGCGAACAAGTGTGATGTTATTGACTGGACAAATAGTAATAATAAATGTGAATAGTATTCACATACTGCAGTAAACTATGGTTATATTGAACTCAAAGGGACTACTAATTTTAATTATAAGCATATATGCCACATATATACAGCAAATGGCTGGGACCCCAAAATATGTTCATTATATCCATCAGTTCGCTACAAGTGTGTTCGTTATAAAAGTAGTTTACTGTACTTACAGTTTGAAAAAAGGGTGTAGGAGTGAGGTAAATTATTCAATAAGCCAACAGAAACAAAAATGTGAATTAATATATTTGACTTTTAAAAAGTTATAATAGGCAGAGCTGTTACAGGAAAGAGTTGACGTAAATGGGGCCAATGAGGTAGACAGTACAATTTGGGGCCTTTAGTCAGTAGTCATTAATTTGTCGGCTTAGTAAATAAAACGTTTGAATAGCGGAATGTTGAATGTAAAATGTGAAATGATCTCTATGTGAATGTGAATTGTCAGTCAGTAAGGGAACATGGGGACAACTGGTTCTCCTTTCAACTCATTACTGCATTTAGTATTGTGCAAATACCGAACACTGGCTGGTTTTCTTGTCGTTACGACTAGTTACGTACAACCTTTGTGAGATTTTGGCAAGTAAACAGTACACATGTAATTTACTCAGCATTTCTTATGGATGTTTTACGTTAATCTTAGTCTAATATTTACGATATGTGTTATATTTGATACGCTAAACAGAATAGCCCATCAGGACCCTGATGTAAGTAATGTTGTGTTTTCCAGAGGATTCCTACCGGAAACAGGTTGTGATTGATGGGGAGACGTGTTTACTGGATATTCTCGACACAGCAGGTCAAGAGGAGTACAGGTAAAGGAGTGTGGTGGAGGGAATGTACCAGGTGACCGATGCACTGGTCCATGTGTCCCTCGTCCTTATGTCCTCATGATATGTGTGTGCCATCTTGATGCGAGGTCATCAGACTTGTAAAACTCAGGTGACAAAATGAAACTTGTTGCTCCTCCGTCAGCTTGTCCTTTTTGTGAGCAAGGGTTTACAAGTCTCTTCCTGTGTCATGTATCCATGGTGGATCGAGCAGATCCAGCTTCGAGTCGTACAATGCCTGAAGCACATTTTTGGTACACCCCCCATGATATTACTGGAATAAGGCTTAGAGCATCACCAAACTGGTTTACATAGAAACCCCATATTGCATTATGATTGATTTATCAACTTTAACAGCTTTGATATTTTTCTTCTTCTGTGAATCCTGCTCACGAGGTGTGTGTTCAGTTGTTGTGGAGGCTAATGTTATCAATCATATATCAGCATTTTGGAGTGGTGTCATGGCTGCATTTGTATCATATTATATATAACTTCTATATTTTATAATGTTACCATCATTCTTGTGTAGTTGATGCACAGAAATGCCTTTACATCATGCTACTGGATCCAAATGAAATTTCTGTGCTTCAAATACTCAATACCTCCCACAAATATGTTGATCTATTTGTTATCAGTACTCAAGTGGGGCAGTGGGGTAGTGTATTGGTTAAAGCGTTCGCTCGTCACATCGAAGACCCGGGTTTCCCCACATGGGTACAATGTGTAAAGCCCATTTCTGGTATCCCCCGCCATGATGATGATATTGCTTGAATATTGCTAAAAGCGGCGTAAAATAATACTCACTCACCCACTTAGTACTCAAGTCGTTTAACCTCCAGAAAGATCATCAAACATGAAATCAAGGTTCAACTTTATTAAAAACAAGAACAAAATCATGCTCAAACAAAACAATAATATGTAAAAATTCAAGGAAAACTGAAAGGTGAGCTTGACAAATGAGTACATTCCTTCAAGCAGAGACTGATTGTGTGTCGCCTTCTTCTTCCAGCGCCATGAGGGACCAGTACATGCGGACGGGGGAGGGGTTTCTATGTGTGTTTGCAGTTAACAATACCAAGTCTTTCGAAGATATCAACCAGTATAGAGAACAGGTCAGTCAGAGTTACTTCCCTTTCTCCATTCGCCTTCTCATCATTCAGGTATACAAACTGTTAGTTAGATTGAAGATATCGCTGTAACTAATTTTGATAATCATTCAATGTTTAGAGAGTGATTTAAATGCTGAATTTTTCAAGTATTCTTCATCAAGATAAAGTTTTGTGGTTTAGGTATCTGTAGCTTAACCCAGTAAGCACAAAGTGTAATAGGTAGTCTCTAATCAGTGCACAACCTTCGAATCTATGTTACTGCAACAGTGAAGATTATTCCCAGAAACCTGGCGGCCAAATGTATCAGGTGGTCAGACTCCGTGACTTGGTTGAGAGCATGTCATCGTACCCTGATGGTGTAGACAGTTGTTCACAATATCGATCACTGGATTGTCTGGGCCAGACTCAATTTTTTAGAGACTGCCGTCATGTACCTGGAATATTGCTGAGTGCTGTGTTAAACAACATACCATGATACAGACATTGAATAACACATTTGATACCGTATTCAACGTAATAAGAGCCCCGCTCTAATAAGCGCCCACAGCGATATTTGCTAATATATTGGCTAGTGAACAATCCCAATTAGCACCCCTTCCAATTGATCAATGTACACAAGACTTATTTATGCACCCTTAATTATGGGCAATTAAATTCTGGAAAAATTCATCGGTCGTATATAAACATTTCAGGCTGTCAGCTTCAACCACGAAATTTATCTTTCAACTCACCATCTTTTTTTTCACCAAAATAATATTCTAATAAGAGCCCCCAATTTCTAATTTTGAGAGCGCCCTGGGTGCTTATTACGTCGAATACGGTATATGCATTGATAAAGCTGCATGGGGGTCAGGGATGTGTATCACAGTGTATACAAGATGGTAGTCGTATTATTTATTTCTCCTGTATATTTTCAGATTAAGAGAGTTAAGGATGCTGACGAGGTGCCCATGGTTTGTAAGTACATTCTGATTCTACACATTCATGAAGTGGTAAACGTCTGAGACCTGCATCACTTCGGGCTTTCCTCCCACATTAAGCTGACACGATATAACTGGAATACTGTTAAAAGCGGCGTTAACTCACTCTAAGCATTTAGTTAGTTCATTTCACATGGATGAAATGTGCCTTATTTTTGCCATTAGCATGTTTGACCTAAAGTTTGTTTCTAGATTGACTGATGATTGTGAAAGAAAGGCTGTAACACAACACGTTGCCATGTTTGATCTGATACTCAAATATTTGTGGCTATAGATTGTCGATCTGTTAACTATAACTGACAGATGATATATAGATATGTCAGTTCATTATATACATCAGGATATCTCTATTTGAACTTGCTCCTCAACATTGACCTATCACCTTTGACTTGCCTGTTACCCTGGTGACGTGAATATTTATGTTTCAGTGGTAGGAAATAAGGTAGATCTACCCACACGCACAGTCCATTCAAAAGATGCGAAGCAGGTTGCCGACAGCTATGGGATTCCTTACGTTGAAACATCAGCCAAGACAAGGCAGGGTGTTGATGACGCATTTTACACACTTGTTAGAGAAATCAGGAAATATGTAAGTATGCTCAGAAAGTGGGGAACACACACCGCCCTCTTAGCTCACTCGTATTTGTTGGAGTGACCCTGTGGGCGGCTGTGGTTAATACATTTATCAGCTGTCACAAGGGTGTGGAAGATCAGATTTGCCCAAATTGTTACATGAGAATTCGGACAAGTACAAAAATCAGCTTCACTTGCCCCTGGACAACCTCAAACTGTAGAAGAACTTTTGTCAATGTCATGATAAAAAACTTGGACAGACCGATTTTGTAATAAAAAAACACCCTTATGAGTCAATAATCTGGACTAATAGACTTGTTGTCTCTGGACAAGTGACTTATTGCTGTTTACTTGTCCAGGGACAATTTTCATATTTCCACACACTTGTCGCAACTTGGGCCATGGATTGCTCTGTTGGAAATATCTGTCAACAGTGCTATTGAACTTTCAGTTCAATGTGGCTTAAGTACAAAAAATTAACAGCTATGTACCTAACTCTCCTTGTGTTTAAAATACCCCACTGTCTGAGACGAGTTGGCCTGGCTTTATTTTGTTTCAGATTTAATTTATAAAATAATGGATATGAACTTATAAAAAGATATGAAGTATTTCACAGTTGATGGAGTTGTCTGTTCTTGCAGAATTTGAGACTTTTCATTGTTTCCTCAAATATAGAACATAAGTTCCTGTTTACTCAGAGAGGGTCGGGTTCAAATCTTTGTTTGTTTGTTGTTTAACGCCACTCTCAGCAATATTCCTGCTGTATGACGGCGGTCTTTAAATAATTGAGTCTGGACCAGACAATCCAGTGATTGACATCATGAGCATCGATCCACGCAATTGGAATACAATGACATGTGTCAACCAAGTCAGCGAGCCTGACCACCCGATCCTGTTAGTCACCCCTTACGACAAGCATAGCTACCTTTTACGGCATGCATTGGTTGCTGAAGACCTATTTTCTACCCGGATATTCACGGGCTGTTCTAGTTTTTTAAATGTACCTGTTTTGCACGTTCAGTTTTGGGATACTCGGCCTGCAACCTATGCTGGTTGAAAGAGGTGACTTAATGGATCTGTTTGCTCAGTGTAAGACTCACTTGACAAAGTGGATCGCTGCTCATATCAATCACTGGATTTTGGGGTCCAGACTTGATTGACCACCTCTGTGGTCCAGTGGTAGAGCGTCCGCCCGGAGAGCGGAAGGTCCGGGGTTCGATCACCGGCCGCATCATACCAAAAACGTTCAAAGATGGTACTTGTTGTTACCCTGGTTGTAGCTCGGCATTAAGGGGCTAAAACAAGGACTGGTCGGCTCGGAGTCAGTATACTGTGTCTGAGTGGGGTATTCATGTTAAACTGCGGCATGGTATCTCAGTGAGCTACCACTATAAATCGGCATCAGTCCGGACTAGTACAAGCAGCCACACACACACATACACATACATGCACGTTGCTATATAAGTGCAATAATCTCTGACTCAACGTTAAACCCCATTTCACTTCACCTCACCACCAGATTTGATTATTTACATGCCGCCTTCATAAAGCCAAAATATTGCTGTGCGGTGTTAAACATAAAGCAAACACTTTGTATTTGACCTCAATGTTAACTTCTGTTCTTTCAGAAAGAGAAGAAGGGAAAGGACAAGCGGAAACGAAATAGAAGACGACTATGCAAACTCTTCTGATCATGTGACATGTCATGTGACCTGTGATGACGTTATTTGTTTACCTGTGTTGGAAACACAGTCATCATTCATGTGTATAAGGTGCCGAATCCGATAGATAACATTCATTTTGTGTCTGTCCGTTAGTCCACTCGTCAGCGTCATGTCAACTTGGCAGTGTTTTGTCATTGCTCATCTTTACATAGCCAATAACATTCAAGTCTTGTTTTTTTTCTGTAAAAAATTGTGAATTTTTAGATATTTTACATTTTTGATATCTTGATACAGCTACTGTTTTCCCAATTCCTGTATGTGCAAGCATGATGTAGAGAAGCATTGTGTTAAAATGTTTAAATAAACTTGTATATTTTCTTTTTGTACTTTACAAGACAGTATTTATGATGTACAGTAAACTAGTACATGAAGTGGATTGTCGTTAATCTGTAGGAGAAACCATGAAATGAATTTAGAAACCAAATGAAACTTAGTCGGTATTTATGAGACATTGCCATTGGATGATCATGATGATGTGGGGATATGAATGATATATATATATCAGAAATCAGTTGATGAAACAGAATGAATCCTGTGATTTGGTGCCCGATGAAAAATTAAATTTGGAAAGAAGGAAACGACAATCTTGATGTAAGGGAGGTAATTCTGCCTCAATTGTTCATTCATAATATCATTAGTTCTTTTTGTAGGACTTGGAATTAATTGATCTAAATTCTTTTGTCATTTGGCATGAGTGTTTCAATGTCCACCCCTGAATCCTCCCATACTTCCATTACTTCTTACACAAGAGTTTTCCATCTAAATATTCTGAGTTTGTGATTGTAGAAGTACCTCCTAATTGATTTCAGTTTTTTCTCTTGAATTGTAGGACTTGATATATTGTACACAAAATATACGCACATGAGACTTATAATGTATTCTACAACACTTGAATGGTAAGAGTTCTCTCCCCTGTAGCAGTCATGAGTTTTGTACAAAAAAGTTTCTTAGTGTACAGTAAGGCATCATATGGCTAATGTCACAAGTGTATTATGATAGTTTTTTTAATTGTTTGTACCTGTTTTCATTTTATTATCAATATACTTGTACAAACCATCAATATGTGCTAACCATCTTGGGTGCTTCAAGGATAATTCTTAACTCTGACAGGCGGATTCTGGTTTTTGTGCTTTAGAAACAGTTGCAGGTGATATGTAACTCATTCTTATAACAACCCAAATGGTTTTGGAAATATGTCTCGAAATAAATTGCATGAAAATTAATGATTTTCTTTCAGGTGTTTTTTTCATGACATGTTGAATGACTCTTCTAGCTGTAGCCAACAAATTGCTCAACTCAACATAACACTGATGAAGTAAATGTTTTGAAAGAACTAGCAAAATGGATTGGGTTGTTTTCATATCTGGTACCACAGATATATATTGCCTGTATCATGCATCGATATCCTCATAGTGTTTTTCATCATTGAAAAGGAGGGAAATTCTGCAGATCAGAAACTATTTTGAAATATATTTTTCCATTACTAATCCGTCATTCTAAACATGCATTTGTACCTAAGTCGGTGTCAGTATCAATATGTGTGGCAAGTCACTGATGTTGTGCTTGTTGAGATGTACAACTGCAATTTGTTTGACGATGCTGGGAGAATAGTAGCATCAGACAGAATTTGTAATCAGAGATCATTTGGATAAGGTGCATTTGCTAATGTTTGACATGCTGCTGTTTTGTTTTGGAACTATACTATTTCATAGATGTTAAAGAACACCCACTTTTTTTCATGAGTCTAGTTAATATGTTAATCTTTTCATATGAAAAAAATAGGGTGTTCTTCAACTTCTTTTACATAGTATAGTTCTATCTCAATAAGGACATCTTTTCACATAGGTGTTATTCTTTGGATAAGGCATTTATTCTTTTTGATAAGTTTAATTCACATCTTAGTAGGATAAAGGCAGGAGAAATATTCTTGCATTTTTTTTATTAAAAAGTAAGAACACTTTCTTATCAACTCATTCATTCATTGCATTTTCGCATTTGTAAAGAAGGTAATATTAAAGCACTATTGATTTACTTTGTTGCATTTTGTAAATATTCAATTTTGTATTTAGTCAAATTCTGAATGGTGTACCTCAACCTTTTCCTTTGTATAGTGCTGAGTGATATTTTTCTCGTTCTAATTTTTTGCATTTGTATAGAAAATCCTATTCCATTCTGAATAGTTAAGTTGATTAAATCTTTTTATTGAGATTTTGATGACCCCGGTTATACATGCTGTTTTATTTTAGTTCACTTGTTTTCAATTGTGCGCAATGGCAAGTTATCAGAGTTGTTTAATAGAACTTGACAATGGCATGGATTCAAGAAACGTTACTGCTTTCCTTTTGAATATTTAGTACAAAAGGGATATTAATTAGATGGGGTTTATGGAAAACAGATGTTAGCTTATTAGTTAATGTAAACAGTGTAGCTGCTTTCTTAGTGCAATATCAACAGTGAGGCTTGACAATGCTCAATATGTATGAATGTGATTGTCATATTCAGCTTTAAGAATAACTTTCATGTCAAGTCTTTCTGGAAACTCATTAGAAATAGCAACCAAATTGGTAATTTGAGTTAGACACAGCCATGAATTGTTTTTGAGTACTGTAACTTGAGTTCGAACACTGTGATAAATTGTTTCAGAAATTAAATTGAGTTTAAGACACTGTGATTAATTTTATTCAGAGCTTACACTGTTAATTGTTTTCAGTCTAAAACGTAATCTTTTGTGTCCGGATATCTTCTGTTTAAGTGTGCGAGTGTTTACTATTAGTTGTGCTGTGGACACTGTTCAACCCTGACCATTCCACATACTAGTATGTGATATGTGAAGATAATGAATGGTTTAGTTTCTAAGGGCTTTATCTATTACTAATGAGTGAACTATATGCATAGTGGATTTTCCAGACAACTGATAATATTGTGATTAAATCCTTCTGCAATTTGTTAGTCAAACCATATTGAAAAGGAAAATATGGATAAGAGTTGTTTGTTTTTAATTCGAGATGTGTATGTTTAATGAAGAACGTGTTGTATAATCTTAAGGCAACTGACAAATTTTGTAAAATATATATAGGACCAATGTGTCAGTGTAGAAACACTATTTATGAATACAGGTCCCCTTTGTATTTATTAGTTAAGTCAAATTTTATTTGTGATACAAGGCTTAAGGATCTCACGAGTTAGTTAATTGGCCACATTTGGCCACAGGGATGGTGGCATCACGAGCTAGTGGATTATGTTGTGACCTTGAATCTGGCAGTGGAGAAACTGAACTAGCTGGCAACGTGTGCTGGATATTTTGCAGCATGCTGCTGTTGCTATAAGGAAGGAAACATCACCTTCAAGGCATTCATTGATTTATGGTGGGTCACTTTTGTATTGTCAAGACGAATGTTATTCTCAATAAAAACAAGTTCTACCTGTAGGTTTGTGTTCTTCACCTTCATTAGAGTAAGACAATGATATGGCCAGTCAGACCTGGTGTATCATACCCAAACCATGTTTTTCATGATGTCTGACTAAAGTCATGTGGGATAAAACAAAAAACAACAACAAAGGAGCTAGAAAATTGAGACAGTCTTTATTAGTTAGTACTGAAAGGATATTTTCCGAAAAGAGTGAAAATGTAAAACAAATTATTCCTTTTTTTATATGTATAATAAAAATGGCGTTCATTCCGAGAAATGCCAAAAGATAAAATGTCCGAAACGTCCGAAACATTCGAAACTGCCAAAAGCACTACATGTTTGTTGGTTTGTTCTTAAACGCCACAATCAGCAAAATTCCAGCTATATGATGGCGGTCTGTAAATAATTGAGTCTGGACCAGACAATCCAGTGATTGACATCATGGGCATCGATCCACGCAATTGGGATACAATGACATGCATCAACCAAGTCAGTGAGCCTGACCACCCGATCCCATTAGTCGCCTCTTACGACAAGCATAGTCACCTTTTACGGCAAGCATGGGTTGCTGAATACCTATTCTATCCCAGATCTTCACAGGTCCACTACATGTATAGAGCTGTCCCATGAAGATCCGGTGTAGAATAGGTCTTTAGCTACCCTGGCTGCACTACATGTATGGATCTTGTATTTAAAACATATTCAAAAGTTCCAAGGTAATTGTCACATGGCACAACTTCCAAGAGGTAGCAAGATGTCACTCTAAGCGTCCATCTTGACACGGAACACTCTCCTCAAGAATCCAGACACACGTGTCAGGAGGACTTGAACTGGGGACTGGGTTGGGATGTCGTCATCGAGGTTGATATCGACAAAGTGAGGGGCATCACGGAGGAAGGAGGTAGAGAGAGGGGCAGGGAGAGAGGTGGGAGAGACGGGCAGCTCTGATAGGGGGTCAAGGATGGTCATGTATCTCCCTGGACGATGCTGACAGGGAGGGAGAGGAGGACATGTGGAAAGTTACAGAAGACGGAAGTAGAGAATGAGGATGTGGGTTGTTGGAAAAGGATTAATAAGGTGACATTGTGATGCTATATGAATATTAGAGATTAAGATCAGTGGTTGTTACTGCACATGTATATCGGTGTCCAAAACAATAGCATATATGCTGATATACCAGTGGTAGTAACTCATTAAATTGTGTGAAGTCAATACATGCATGAAATTACAACACGCACTGTTTCAGTCTTACAATAACTCTAGTAAAATAATGATTCCCTAAGACACCCACTTGGCGAGGAGGAGCCCAGATGTCAAAGTTCAAGGGGAACCTGATCACGAGGTCAACAGCTGTCCGGGGGAGAAAAAACAAAATGATGGTCTTAAATAAGGATAAACAAGACAATATCAACTGGGCAGCATGTTAAAGTGTAAAATGTGATCCTGTTGCTCTATATACATATAACTATTAAAAGTATCAACAGATAAAAACAGTATCAGTTCATTCAGTTGGGATGATTTATGGACAAATACCGGTATGGAAATACAATAGGTCAGCTTAGTGCTACTGACAGTGATTACATAGAAACATGGCAACAAAAATGTCTAAGATACCGAAAATCAATGTCTTAAAAGAGTTTCAGGTGGTGCTATATTAAGAAAACGTAAAACTTTAGGCACAACAACTTCTGATTTTATTGCATTTGGCAACTTTTCGATGAAGATTCTTATACCTTGATCAAGCTGGATAACAGTGTAAGATTCTAAGAACATACATTAAAACTATATATCTACATAAACCAGAAGTTGTTATCCATATTTTCTTTGTTACTTGTCAACTTCTAGAATGCCAATCAGACAGGTGGAACTATATTGCCTGTTGTCACTGTCTGACTGACTAGTCACTGGCATTGTGACATAATATATATTTGAGCTCACATCCCAGGAAAACTGTTCAGATGCTGCTTGTGCAGTATCAATGAGATGGAAAATTACACAACCTAACACAAACCTTTGGTAGATAATATAATATCAATTTAGTATTAGGTAAACTTTGGAGCATTTGAATTGGCTACAAAATTGATATGTCATTACAAACAAACACATGATTGTATATGTAGGAATCGCTTGAGCTAAAACATATTCAAAAGATCCAAGGAAATTGGTATATGGCGAAAGTTCCATGTTATTTAATTAAATCACAAACATCCCAAATTAATATCTGAGGGTAGGGCCTAAAAGACACCAGAACAACCACCTTAGAACATCAGCTCTGATACAACTGACAACTGTCTTGAAATTAAAAGCATAAAACGTTAAAACATTGATTGTATTGTTTATTAACAGACTGAAAAGTATGAAAGTGCCTCAGTTAACGTGAAAAAGATCTGAACAAAAGACAAACGATCGTGTATTTTGATGCCATCTATGATGGCAGTGTGTTCTGGAAGCTTCCTTTTTAAACTTCAGATTGATAATGGCATAATAATAATATGGGCTCACTGAAAGCCAAAATAACCTATTTAGAAATAACGAAATACCTTGGGCGTATGCGCTCATTGTATTCGCAAGCGAAGATGAGCAAAATACGAGACACACTAGTACTATAAGTAGCAAGAAGACAACAGTATATCTCAACAATGGCGGTATCATTCGTGAAACTGTCGTCATGGCGACGTCATAACTCTCACGAGACTGTCATACAGCATCGCGTGACATAAACATCTTGACTGGTCTTCTTCCTACTCTACGCAAGTCAGGATCCCAGCTATGTTTCCAGTTTTCCTGTGGTTCAAACTGAGTTGTAAAGAGAATGTCAGACAAGAAACTAGTGACGCCGAGAATCAAAATCTAGCCGCAAATAGACATCAGTATAATTATGTAGTTAAAATGCTTGGAATACAGGTAAAAAAATCGAAACAGTCATCTTGACGACACCGTAAATTATGCAGTAAGTTAATAAATTCACTGCACCTGTACCTACTATATAGCAGTGTAATTCAAAAAGAAGGGACTGTTTTCTTTCTTTTTCTTTTGTATTTGCGGCCAGATTTTGATGCTCCGAGTCTATATTGGCGATGATAATAATTTGTTCAAAGTGTATTTTATCATTTGGTTCAGCGTTGTCGATGTGTTATGAAAAATAGCACGTATAAATTTAAAGACGACTTGAATTCCAGCATTTCACCACAATAATAAGCGGGATACATTTCTGTATTCCTGTCACGTCTTGCAAGAAATTGTAGGTACGCTTCAGTCACTATTAAAGCAATAATAGCGAGTTTGTTGTTTAACGCCGCACTCAGCGATATTCCAGCTATATGACAGCGGTTTTCTAATGTAGTCTTATAGATTGGACATCACTTTTAGCAGTGTGGATATATTATGAATTGTTATTGCACCAGGCTGATGCCTCGCATCTAGGTTTATTTGCTGTTTTATTTTATTCGCCATGGGAAGTTCCTTTGACTCGGCTTTTATTCGAAGTAGACGTTGTTTTGTGTCATATATTCTTTTCGTAAGTTAAAAAACCACAGGGTTCGCTTACGGACCATAACGTTAAACTTTGTAAACACACCAGTAACGTGTTGACAGTGCATTTTAGTGTTTTTACCAGCGTTTATTCGAGGCCGGCTTTATTTTTTATTAAGCTGTTTTTGTTGTTGTTTTTTTCTGTATTGTTTCATGTCTCTTGTGTCGGGTAAACCGGCAATAGTTAGGGCAGTAGTAAATCAGGGTTCGCTTCCGGAGCAAAAACACGAAACTTTGTATACATATCAGGAAGTGCTGAAAGTGCCATTTGCTTTCTAAGTAAAGTTTTATGCATTTCCATGCCAGCAAGTCGGACTCAAGTGGAAATGTAGGTTGGGTTCATTTCCTGATTCAGATTCATGAGCTGTTTAATATTAATTATGTATAACACACGACAAACGCCGAACTGATGTCTTTTACTTTACAAAATATATTATTGTTTGCGTTTCCAAGGCAACACCTTGGTCATATTATCAGATGATAGTTGGGTTCATTTCTGGAGCTAAACTTAATATTACATGTGAAACTTTTCATTAATATCAGACAAGTGATGAAATGGTGCCTTTTGCTATTAATGATATATAAAACATGTAGACTTTGTGTTACCAATTTAAAAAACAATGGACTTCGTTCAAGTGTATAAACAGATTTTTTATTCATGCACCGATTGTCTTTAAATGTAATATCCAGTTATGTATGACTGTTTAATAATCTCATTCCAACTTTGACTGGAGTAGGTCCAATTGTTTTTCAGATATTGTAGTAAACGTCGGTAGCTGAAATTAACTTCCAGACTATAGGCATGGTTCACCTCATAACTCATAAACGGTTCAACGTTTTCTTTGAGAGGCATTTATAAGTTTGGGTACAAAGTTTGTTTGTTTAACGCCGCATTCAGCTATATTCCAGCTATATGACGGCAGTCTGTAACAATCGAGTCTGAACCAGACAATCAAGTGATTGACACCATGAGCATCGATCCACGCAATTGGGGAGTACAAAGTAAGGACAAGATATAAGGATGAATAGCTTGTTTATTATATTACACTAGGAGCGACGTTTCGGTGTAGGTTCTAACGCCGTTATCAAGCAAGTGTTCATCCATATTTCGTATACTTACTTGGTTCAATATTAAGAAAAACATAACACTTTGTATATACACGTTGAACTGGTTGAACCTTTTAAGATTTTCACAGTTTGGGATTCCCTGGGAGAGTTGCACCTGAAGATAGGATTTGTGTACAGCGCCAAACCTTTCAGCATTTATAAAAAAATATATATACTATCAATTAAGTAAATCTCCGATGCTTGACCAACGGGACAAATATTTGCAGTTTTGAGTGGTGGGCTAGTATTGATTTTATGTCATATTTGATGAGAAATGTAACATCAATTATTTTACACCTTAATAATGTGAGAACTGGGCTTAGTTTAAATGTGAGTAGGTTTTCTTTTAATAATACAGCTCGCTAATCTTACTGGTTTG